TCTCAGCTGAACAAAATTAACTTTTCCTTAATCCTGATTGACAATTCTTCAACTCCTAGAGGATGACGATGATTTCGCACCGCATAATTAAACAATACTTCATTGGAAGGTTTAATGGACAATACATCTTCATACAGATTCTTGACAACAAATCGTCTGCACAGGGTGATGTCTGTAAAAAATATTTATTTCTGAAAAAGGGGCGCGAAAGGGCAAAGTGTCTAAAATGCTAATAAAAGAATACTTATAGAGCTACAATATAACACGAAAAATAAATAAAACTGATTTGACATTGATTTTAATTTTAATTAAAGTCACAATTACTGCTGCATATATTGTAAATAATCATATTATAATACAGGAAAAGGGTAGTAGTAATTCTAGATATCAAACATGATAACACTTACTTCCAATGCTCAAAGTTGCAGGTTAGAATTCTGGCTTATGGCAGCTAAATTGTTTATTCTGTACATCGACCCTGGATTGACCCTGCTGGGGCACATTTAGCCTCTATAAAGTGGGTACCCTAAATTAAATAATTATTTAAGGGGAAAAACCTAGCAGTCGAGCGTAATATGTGTCAAAAATTACCTCCTCGCACAAACGTTGAATAAGAAACAGTACCTACTGGAATATTTTTATACGAACATATATTATTTGTTAAGATGGCTCTTCCCCTCCTTTCGAAGACGATATTTCCGAGGTACGTTCCTTTATCAAATCATCAGCAACAATCGTCCTTCTCAACAACCTTCTCCAATTCAAGTCCTCAGTCCATTCCCTTTCAACAAGATCTCGACCATCTGACATCCCTTCTCACAGATCTGTCTCATTTCAAAACTCCTTTATAGCTCGCGCTTTCAATTTCGGGAATTCCCTACCTACCAAATTCGGCATTCCCCCTTCATATCCACATTCAAAACCCTCCTATTCCGATTCCTATCCCAAAAACAGTCAGATGCTTGCTAAACTTTTGATATTATACATTGTTATTATATCATCATCATCAAATGACAGTACTATTCCATACTGTAAACTTCACTAGGGATTTTAGAATATCTTCCTACTCTCAATGCCACTGAATGCATCTATTGTTTGTTTTTTTATTATTTTTATTCTTTTATAAATAAATTTTAAAGAAGAACTCAATGTATTTTTTATTATTTTATTTTTCAAAAGTGAATAATTATAATTTTTCCTACTGTACATAGTGTTAAGTCTTTTGTATATAGATTTTTTTTTTTTTATATAGTTTGTTTAATTAGTTTTATATATTTTCTTTACTTTATCTTTTTTTATTATTGTTTTATTTTGGCCAGATGTAGTCTCTTAATTATGTACTATTTTATTATCCTAAAGGGACTTTGTCCCAGAATAAAGTATTTTCTATTTCTATTTTCTAAAATTTATATTTTTATATGGAATTATTTTTATATGAAATAATTCTATTTTTTTCATTTCATAAAAAAAGGTATAACTTCAATTACACCTTTGCTAATTTTATTTTCACTCATTTTGTTTATGTTTTAACTGCATTGCGAAATATTTTGTACCAAAGCAGATGTAAATTGTTTTTTTACTAACCATTTCTAAAAGCTATATTACCACAAAATTAAATGATACCAAAATTAATATAAACCAATATTATTAATAACGAAAATCGTGTTAGCATAAGACATTTCTAGACTAGTTTTTCTTGAAACTGAGAATAGACCAATCACAATATTTTCATACAAATCTGGAAAGATTTGAAACTATATATCTTTATTTAGTCTATTCGTTTGACAGGCACAACTCCTATTGCCACAAATTCAATTTGATATCATTTTCAGAGAATGAGAGAGTTTAAACATAAATGATGTAATAAATATTTTATCAAGATTTTTTTTTTTTATCTGGGCTTTTTTCTAACCCAGTAACCTTGTACATGCTAAGTCCAAGTTTTCGACCTCGAAGCCCTCCCAGATCACTTTTGAATATCCCAAAAACTATATTTTCACACTTTTTTCGATTTTTCCTCATTACATTTATGAAGCAGATCGTTTTGACAAAAACCATTTTAGAGATGGGCAGTGCTCGATTACTTTCATGATTTGAGTACTTTTGAGTACTTTGTGTACTCGGCCTGACATCGGCGAGTACTGAGAGTACTCACGCAGCGTTAATCATGATTTAGTTAAGTACAGAAAGTACTCGCGGTGTTATATCGAATTACAGAAAGTACTCAGCCAAATTCCTCTTAGTACTTTTATTTTTCAACTACTCCGTCATTATTATAAAGAGTATAATAGCGGCCATATTCGACCTGACCAACCCCTAACCTCCCATTACTCGATATCAGGCTAACCATCATATTTTGAGGGGAGCCTTTTTATAAAAATATACTGTCAGGTTTGAGATAGACCTGAGCATAACTTTTCATCGAATTTTCATAACTTTTCCGATTAAATCGATAGCAGGGTCGGCTATTAGGTGTTAGGGGGCACTTTTTATCATCGGGCACTGTCCGACTTTTTGTAACATTTCGGGTTATATCGACAATAGGGTCGACAATTTAGGGGGCGGGGTGGCCGAATAGGCTAAAGCGTGTGCACAGCACCGCTAGTTGCCTGGCAACCGGATAACAGAGATTTGAGATGATATAAAAAGTACGAGTTCGCATCGGATTTAAAAATTCCCCGCCCTCACCCCCCGGCCCGGGAAAATTCCGTATAGCCTAAAAGGCGAGGTAGGAGGGAAGAAAAAAAAAAAAAAAAAAAAAAAAAGGGTCGACAATTAGATTTTAAGAGGCGCTTTTTATGAAAATGATGTCGGATTTGAGATAGTGCCCCCAGGGCCCGACTTTTTGTAACATTTCGGATTATATCGACATCAGGTCGACTATTGGGTTTTAGGAGGCGCTTTTTATGAAAATGATGTCGGATTTGAGATAGAGCCCCAGGCCTCGACTTTTTGTAACATTACAGATTGAATCGATATTAGGATCAATTATTAGGTTTTGGGGGGCGCTTTTTATGAAAATTATGTCGAATTTGAGATTGAGGCCCCCGGGCCTCGACTTATAGTAACATTTCGGATTTAATAGATATCAGGGTCGACAATTAAGTTTTGGAAGATGCTTTTTATGAAAATATTGTCGGATTTGAGATTGTGACAAGTGGATTCACTTTTTGGAATTAGTAAATATCAGGGTCGTCTATTAAGTTTTAGGGGACGCATTTTATAAAAAAGCCCGGTCGGATTTAAGATCAGAGGGCAAAAAAAAAAAAAAAAAAAACGACGAGGAGGCGCAATCTCAAATCCGACATCATTTTCATAAAAAGTGCCCCCCAAAATCTAATAGTCGACCCTGATGTCGATATAATCCGAAAAGTTTCAAGAAGTCGGTATTTGGGGGCAGTATCTTCAAATCCAACATTATTATCATAAAAGTCAAGTGGTGTAGAAAAAAAAAATGGTCCCCAAAAGTTGATTAAATCCAAAATATTTTAATAATTCTTTATTTTATCAATTTACATTAATATCGATAATATTTTAAAAAATTATACCCCCATAAGATAACAATGGACTTAAAATATGGAAAAAATATTAAATATTCTACTGCTGTAATTTTTATAATGAAGTACTCGATTACTTTGAAAAGTACTCAGAGTAAAATATTTCTGAGTAGATTTGAAAACGGAAAGTACTCACGAGGCCAGCTGACTTACTTTTTTGACAGCTGAATTACTTTTTGTACTTGTCAATCATGAGGTCGAGTAGTGATTAAAGTACTCGATACTCGAACCGGGCGAGTATTTGAATAAAATAGTCTGTAATTTGTACTTCTTACTCAGAGTACATTTTTGCCTATCTCTAAACCATTCTATACATTTTAAACTAGATAGATCAATATATTTAAATTTAAGACAAAACAGGCTCGGTAAATCAAAAAGTTTACGAGATAGAGATTTTCAAACTTTTTTTGTAATTAAACGGCCAACAATAACGAAAAACGCCTTTAAATAAAAAATCTAGATAATACATTTATCTTTCTAAATAACTCATTAATTTTTAACATATTTGAAACGGTTCTTTAGAAAATTCACTTAATCAGCGGAGAAGCGGTACTGGCATACAGTCCTGTGCCACCCCATTCGGTTCTCGTAAATTTTCATGAATAAATGGCCTAATAAATATTCCTTAAAAAAAAGAAACCTTCTAGCCCCATTGGATGCAAGTTAGACCCCTCTTTTCATGATAAGGTTACTGGGCTATTCGCTTAGGCGTGTATTTTTCCTAGACCAGAATTTAGTTCAAAAACGGCTTCACCGATAGATTTCTAAGGACAAATCATAGAAATAAATATAAAATATAAAGAGTTATGTGATTAATAGAATTGGTGAGGAATTAGTAAACCTACTTGGAAGATGTTTTAATATAATCCATTTTTTATTATCCTTTAGCAAATCTTGTTATTTAAAAAAAAAACTGCTCGTAAATGGCTTAAAAATCTCGTAGAAATGACCATCACATTGTTTTATCTGATTATAATTAAATTCATTTTTAGGACCAAGGTCCGTCCATATTTTTTAACCAAAATTAAAGGCATTTATGAGAAAGAGTTGCTTGGGGAGGGGAGAAGTGCCGTTAAATAAATACTAAATTTTAAAAAATAGTTATTTTAATTATCACACCCACGTTTCGACCCACCTTGCAGGTCTCCATCAGGACGTGGCATGTGGCCTACAGGCCCTGCCGGTATGTGGTTCGAAACGTCGGCATAATAATTAAGAATATTGCTTTTTAAAATTGAGTATTCATTTGACCGCACCCCCTAACCAACTCCTTCTCATATTATATCACGGTCAACCATCTCTACATCATTAAAGGCTAATTACGTTGAAAACGTTATACAAAGTGTAAAAAAAAATGAAACAAATCACTACAATATTTACAATTTATTTAGTAATTGAGGATAGAGGATTTTTTAAATTATTTATTTGTGCACATTTTTCGAAATGAAGGAGGGACAGTGTTTGTGCGGTAGGGTAGGAGAAAGCGGGAGATGCTATATATACCTGAGGAGCAGTCCATATCACCACTACGGTATCAACAAAACAACTCTCAGCATGTTTCTGATAGTGGTAAGTAAGGGAAGAATTAATTTCTCTAAGTGACAATATAGCTTCTACATTGATTACTAGATAGATTCATTAGGTATGCATGACACATCTATGGTCAATTTTCGAAAATATTCATATGAAATAATTAGGAGAAACTTTTAAATTGAAAATATTTTGTTAACACAGGATTAAAATTTGACTTGATTGCACATGATACAGATCGATTACCCTGGGTAAAGTTAAATATCCCTAAAACCCTGAAATATGGTCACATTATTTTCAAATGCTTTTTTCTCCGTATACTTGAAAAACAGTTTTTAAAATCATTTGCAAGTAGACAAGATTCAAAGCATGCTTCTATGTTTTGCAACAATTCTCTTTAAACAATGGCCATGTCGGATCAATTTTAAGTATTTGATTATAATATATTTCAACAGTATGAAGTACAATTTACATATCTCGTCATACAAAGCAAGAAAGTTTTGAATATATACAATATTTAAGTACTGCAACATGTAGAATCAATTTCGAAATTTATTACCCTAAATTAAACGATCTATCCTCTAAATCGTACGGCTTATTGATCAATAAAAGTATATATTAATGTGTATAGGATGTAAATAGTTAGAAAAAATATTGAAATTAACATTTAACAAGTCCTTAATCGATTTGGATATTAAAAGAATTATTGGTTCTGAATTGTCTTTCTTTTTAATTAAAACTTTTTGCGGAGGAAATTTCTAATAAACGTTTTTATAAAACATTTATTTAAAAGTACTGCTAAAAAATTCATTTTCTAAAAAAGTAAATAAAAAAAAAGTAATTGAATCAGATATTCTTTGCGACTTAAACAAAGGAATTATATGAATTAGGCACAATAAAGAGAAATTATACCCGAGTTATTCTCACGAGACTGGCCGGTTTCGCATCTTTTGACTCCGAGGTTGTTTTTATATGCTCCTCTTCTTTTTTTCCTGTAATTATTATCTAGTGGACTCCGATTTTTTCTACTAATAATGACTATATATATATTATTACTAAATAGTGAATGGCCAAAATATTGAAATTTAAATATTCTAATTGTTACCGTCCACAACCTGACCTACCAAAACCTCGGGTAGTGATACAAGGCGAAGTATCTGAAGCCATCTAAGTTCGAACTGGCTTGCGGCAGGGAGATACTATTAACGCTTAGCATGGGAGAAGGTGATAAGACAATCTCGTTAAAATGAAGGGGTGCACGTTGCACAGTGGTGTATTTGACCCTGAAAGATGGCCAAAACTACATAAAATATTTTATTTGTCTTAAATTAATAGTAATGGTATATATGTTAAATATAATATTATTTCAGTGATGGCTTTAGACTTTTGAGGGAACTGGGCAATTCCGTCATTACCCTTGCCTATCCACAAAAACATAAAATAATTGTTTAAGCTGTTGTATATTACTTTATAACTGAATAGTATTTTATAAATATGTCTCTCATTCAGATGCTTTAGTAAAAAACTAAAATTAATTCTAATGCAATTTTTTTAATCCCCCAAGAGTTGTTGAACGCCCCTCTATTTAATTCGCCGCTGTATTATTTAATATAGAATTAATATAGAATTAATTAATTCTATATTATGAATTAAGTGCCTTAATGCCGAAAATAATAGAAAATCTGATAATGTGGCAGCTAAACGATTTGTGTTCTCACCACTTGTGTATATTATGCATTGTAAGAAAAATACTACGTTATCATCGATGTCGTTCAAAAAATCTGACCATTTATGTGATATTGAATATGAACAAAATTAATAGTTTAATATCAAATATACAATATTAATTCTCACAATTAACTTTTACGATCATAATAGATATGATCTCCGACATTAATATTCTTTTGAATCGTCATTCCCTGTTTTGTTTTGTTCAAAATATTTTCCAGGAAGCATTCAATAGTTTGTTGTGCGCGTGTTTTAGTCAATTGTTGACGTCTAATTCTTCAAATGAGTGGTTAAGGCGGAAATAATAATCCGTTAGTTATATCCAAATTTCAGTTTCTGTGGAAGGATTTTGATTGTTTTCCAATGTACCCGAAAAAGTTTATTCCATTATTCTTAGTCTTCCTTCAGAGAGAAGTCCGATAGATAACAGAGCATACTTTGTTCCTGTAGATTCATTTAGTTAACATTTAATGCATAGTACGTGACATAGACGCCAATGGTCCAAACTATCTTACAATATTACTTTTTCCAGGGTGTAAAAAAGTAGAAAATGTATCCTCCTGAAATTACTTCCAGGATTACTTTAAATTTGCAAATTATTTTTCTATCGACTTCTGTTATTTCTGCTGAGCGGTCTACATCTTCAAAAAATGTCTACACGAATGTCATATTTGAAGTCATCAACAATTTTATCAATAGTTCCCAATTTAAAAAAATGTATTATGGAGATTATTTTTTTTTTCATTCTTCCGTTTCCGATTTTCTTCTCTCTTCCTGTTGGCCATTTATTGTAATTTCGTATAGAATTTAATGGTGATTGCCGAGAGAATAATTTATATTTGTTTTTTATCTATAAATTCAAAGTTTCGTACGATTATTGCGCGTGGGAATAGTTTAATATTTCAATAAATTTGTTGCATTAAAATAATTTGGATGTTTGAAGGGCCTGATATAAATATATAACATATATTATAGAAAATATATTATTCGCCTCTAATTTTCAATAAATTAATCAAAGCTACTGTTTTATGTGAATATCTAACTACTTTAATTACAATTAATCAATTAAAATAGAAAATAATAAGCAAAAATTGTAAGCAACTGGCTGACTGATAGGTGACAACGCTCCTACCACAACAGCTTTGTTGAAGTTCGATTTCAAAATTATTCTCCTCCAGAGATGCCCATCCTTTCGATGGGAAGAACCTACTCCCCTCCCCCCTTTCGTGATATTTTTCATTTCATTTTTTTTCTATTGATCATCTTTTCTTAAAAACAGACAAAGGAGAAGTTGCATTAGACAAATCGTAGATCATACACAATTACGCTTGTTGCTGTCTGTTCCATGTTTTCCCCTTGCCCCTTATTCCGAAAATTTATAACCTCGTTAAAATGTGCTCCCCTCAAAAATTCAAAAATCCTTCAAAATATGCCCTCAAATATTTTTATGGCGCAACGTGAGCTATAAAACCCCCTTTTGGGCACCCCTGTTCCCCACTGTGCATCGGAATGATTCATAAAATCCTCGGAAATAGAGTTGATATAATATAAATATAAGCAATTAAGAAAATACTGAGGGACTCGCTTAAACTCTGATAGCAGAAACAGGAAAAATAGTCCTACATGTATTATTGAAAAATATTACAATCTGTCTCAAGGACATTTATAATAGTGTTCACAGATCACATTCACACTCTACATAGTCCAGGTATCAGATAAAAATAGCCGATACAAATATCAGATAAAAAGTAGTAGGAAGGTAATGACAAGGGATGGGTCGGATTGTATGTATCAGATACTTTTATTTGATACTAAAAAAGTATCTGATACAACCAGTAGATACAACCCAAAAGTATCTGATACAGATACTCACATGTATTAAAAAAAAAAAAAAAGAACCTGTACCACTACAACCCAAGAGGCGTCTTGGGTTCACTACTATTTAAAGAAAGTACTGTTTCAAGGCCAATGGTTGTACACAGAGGGAATCGGGCCAGGACCATGCTCAACCGCCAGGTTTTCTCCCTTAATCAATTAGGTACCCACTTCGTAGAGGATGGGTGTGCCCCAGGAGGGTCTCCCTACACTGAGCTGGGATTCGAATCTTGGAACTTGAGCATTGAAACAAGGAATTTGTGTTTTTTTGTATTTTATTCTATTTTTTTTTTCAATAATTTCAATAACATATTGTATAAACTCAGTTCTGAAAAGATCTTTCACATTAAAACTGCACGTATTGTATTAAATGTTCAATATTTATTAGCATTTGTTACATTTTAAATTATTTAACTTGTCTTTAACTTTCTTGCATCGTTTATATCATAATTATCCATTGTTATAATTATAACATAATTATGATAAATTCACATTACTATAATTATTCAAGGTGTTAATTTAAAAATTGACTTCTGAAGAAAATAATTAGCAAATGTTTGATACCCTTTTGAAATTATATTAATTAAATTATACGAGAAAGCCTTTTTATATATATTTTTTAATATTTAATGAATCTATTTGACTTCTTTCTAGTTCCTACCCATGTTTTTTTAGAGAGAGAAAATTTGTCAAATGCAAATATTTAATTCTTGCTCTTTAAGCTATTAAGTAATTTAACACTTCAATTCAATGTTAACCTTGATTTCATTTTTCCAAAGATTACAAATTTCGAGATCCGGTATACACTGGCACTAACACAACATGAACAATTTAGAATCAATAAATAAAGATTTAAAAAGAAATAAAATCATTATAAAACTACCACTAAAAATAGAGACGCAATTTTATTTATAAAATTATAATTAACTATTCCAAGATATAACTAACAGTGAATCCATAATATATCATTTTTATATATCGAAGCTAGGACGCGCCACAACAAAAAGGAATGATAAATGTTGGCACCTTACTAATTGACTAATGGTATCTAGACTTGAAAGAAAAGAGTATTATCGTAAAGCCATAAACACTTATGGCGTGAGCACTTGTAGGATTCGACATATATATTAATATTAACATATATACTCTTAGTTTATATTAATGTATACGGTTTCATGTATAGCCTTCCAAATTGTTGACGTTTCCGAATCAATTTCTGAAATTGGAAGGGAAAACTCAAGCTCATAAAGTCGTTATGTATCAACAAGCGGACAACCTAAGCACATTAACTACCTTGTGGCTTCACCGTAATCATTAAAGAAATATGAAGTTCACTCACAGCGCAGGCGGATCTACGGGGGAGGCTTTCGGGCTGAAGCCCTCTCCCCTCCCAAAATGGTAAAATGTAACCATGATTTATGGTTAAAAATATCTCTTAAAGTATTATTGTTCGTGTAATTACATTTAATAGGACTTAAAAAATCACATAAACGCTATTTCATATAAGTAGATAGTATCTTTCTTTTTTTTTTTAGAGTAGTTATCGTTATATATATGAAAAAAAACCTTTCGGGCTGAAGCCCAAAATGAAATCCTGAATCCGCTAGTGACTCACAGACGTATTGGTCACTATATTTAAAAAATCGCAATGCTTATGAAGATAAAATTTTAATTTATATTACACCTTATACTTTAAACGTGCAATAAGACTGACTAGTTTTTGAAAAGTTTTTACTGTTAGTGGTTAAAAAAAAATCAAAATAGTAAAAATAAAAATGTTTCTCCGAATAACTAAAATATCATACATACGACTACTGGAATATTGTAAGTACTTATGCTTAAGCTAATCAAATTATAATAAAATTAAAGAAATATTTCTAAATCCCATAATTTAATGGTTATGTCATGCTAAGTAGCATTGATATGTTATTAACATGTATCCCTAGAAACTGGTTCAATCTATATATTTGTAAACATTGAATCCCAGACATTATATTGTTTTCCGATTCTGCAATTATTATTAAAGCTGAATATTAATTACGCTACTTCAGAAAAAAAAGGTTATATGTATATATATAGTTTCATTCTTAGAATAAAATCTTGTTCATTTTTATATGTCAAAATAGCTGCTGCCTTTGCTGGCCATTGGAGTTGCCGGCGAAAACGGTCAGAAGAGGAGTGCCGACCCTGGTATCGTGGCGGGACATGCTGGCTATGGAGGACTCACATCTCTGGGCTCTGGCGCAGCCGTCATCGCGGACGGAGCCATTGCTTCAGCTGGGTCAGTACTGATTTAGGCCAAGTACCTAATCCTTAAAAAAATAAAAAAGAGTTGTCAGTTAAACTATCAATACTACGAATGATAAGTGAGAAATGACCAGAGTAAATCGATTATTATAATAAGATATTGCAAAATTAAAAAATTGATTGTTAAAATAATTTTTGAAGTTAAAGATAATGTTCTGATCAATTTGAAATAATTAACGTAAATTTTATTTACCTTCTCATATTTGGTCTATACCTTTCTTTTATAAGTCTTTATGGAAAAAAATAAATAATATATACTGATATACATTAATATATAATATAACATTTTCAAGATTAAATAAAAAAATACAAGTGTGGTCCAAAACATTTATACACCCATAGAAAGTTTTAGAACATCATCATGTGTATATTAATCACATATTTTAATATAAATAATAATAATAATAATATTTAAAAAACTAATTTCCTTCATTATATATATATATATATGAGTTACTTGGAATGGAAACTGATATAAGCGTGTCAGCTGCTAGATTTTTGTCAGGCTGGTGTGGTTCCAGAAACAGCCATTGTGTCTATTTAATATATTAATGTATTTCTATCGGTTCCAGGAGAAATTATTAAGATCTTTAAATATGTACTTATTATATAATTAATATGAAAAAATAAATGTGAAAAAAAGTACCATAGACCTATCCTTTAGCTATGATATACTCGATTAATTCATTGTTCATAGCAGATATCTTTACCTAGAATACCATGTGATCAATTTACTATTTGATCTGTCATGAATCATTGTATACAATTTATTATTCTTATATAAATGGTGATGCTAGGAAAAAGGATTACTAATAAAATACTAAATAAAATAAAATCTATTTGTGGTAGAAACATTTTAGGTATACCTATATGAAAATATTGTATTGGGGATGCTGATGTTTACATGTTTAATGACTCTATTATTTCATAGATCCCCAACACAGATTTATAAAGGAAAGGTTTGAATGAATACCCTCACTTAGTTAGTCATAGTATATGGCTGAGTCTTCCGGTACTATTGGGTTGACAAATAAGTCCTTTCGGTTTTTCAGGGTGAAATAAAACTCAATGTACTATAGACATAAAATTGATTTTAATCTACAATATATTGTCCATTGTTTAATATGACATTTTCCCATCTTCCCAATAACTGCATAATACCATGTTCATAGAACGTCTGGAGTTTATTGTTAAAAAACTGATCCAAGTGGTTTTTGATGTCCTATTTCTTTTGGAATTCATGGAGTTCTGCAGAGACAGGAATAAGTGGCAGTGGGGTAAGAGGTTCCATCCAAGGCTCAATAATTCATTGCGAGTGACCAATGAGGTGTGGAGCCTTGCTGGAACACAACACGCTTCTGATCATTCATAACTCTTCAGGATGTTTTCCAAATTCGATGTTACTATATGCGTTGAAAAGCTGAATAATTGCTCTTCAAAGCTGCATGAATGGTTTTTTTTATTCAATGCCTACATAAGGACTAAAAAACAAAAACCTCTTTTAGGTTTTTATTTTTTATCTCCATTTTTAGTTTGTTCACGAAGTGCTGTTGATGTTATTTTGTGTACTTTATGTGGCCCTAAATTCCTTCCAAATTTCTTGTAGCTAAAGTCATATTTAAACATTTTTTTGTGATTTTTGAAAAAAAATCATATGAGGGACCCTAATATTAAGCCTGGAAATATAGCCGAGCTTGTGCAAATGGTTTTCAGCGCTTGTGCGCAACACATTTAGGGCCATAGCAATCTCTCGCCCTGATTGGGTGGGATTTTCATCAATAATGGTCTTAACATTGCTCGTTTCAATTTCATGTGGGCGACCAGACTGTTGAGCTTCATTGATGTCAAAATTTCCTAAATGAAGTTAAGGCATCATCCTCATAAACACTGCAAATGTTTCTATTAACTTCTGCAGCACGCTTATCTTTTTTTAAAATAATACAACAAAATATGCCCATAATAAATGATATTTTTTCTGTATTCACAGTGCAATAGCAAACACATTACTAAGCTAGTTTCAGCAAGAATTAATAGATATGGGAGGCACAACCCCTTCTATTTTTCTGTAAACGTTTATTTTTTTTATTGGAATTTTGAACTTCGTCGGGCTCTCTTTTTATCTTTCAAATAGGCAAAATTTTATCTTTATTATGCCTTAACAGATTATTTGAGAAAAAAATATATCTGATAAGGCTAGGTGACAGTATCCTGTCCCAAGTCTACCTGCAATCTTTTGTGTCGACAATAATATTTAAATTTTTCTTCATTAGATTTATAGTTATTTAATTGAATAAATTTCAATTTAGACATCAGCACCTTCGATACATATTACAGCTAAAGCATAGTCATGTTCTTTAATTGTACCTAAATGTTTTAAAAGCGAAAGCAAACATTCAAGGTTGGTCAAATTGGTAAAAAATAAAAAGCATTTTTCGTACTATGACTATATAAACAGCTATGAAGTATGATGTTCACGATGTGGTATTTATATTCGCAACATAAATTAAAAATATTACCTTACTGAAACACATTAATCCAGATCCCAGGCAATTTTCGCAACCATGCTGAAAAATAATAAGTTGGTTAACTATAATAGAGCTGGTTAGCGTGGCGGAAGAGACACCTTTGACCATGTCTACTCCACTCGAATCTAGCCATATTTGAAGTATGACACAGAAATAGTAATTGTTGAAATGCACTAAATAATTATTTCAAAAAGCTTTTGACATTTTTTCTTTTAATGAATACCATTTCATCAATCAATTCGTTACGCTAACACCACATTTATGTTACAAAATTTAAATTTTTATCATCAGATAAAATGACCATACATGGCTTTTATGCCTGTGGTTTGATTATTGTACTCAAAAATTAATAAGTGAAAAAAGGAAATGTCTATTTAACAACTTTAACGAAGCTCCTCACCACATTTTAAAAACTCCATCACACGTAGATCTTTCCATTGCGGAAGAATAAAAAAATTATATTAATTATCAAAATAATTATATGTATGCTAGTTATATAATTATTATAATAAAATAATATAACTATAACAATAAAAATATAAAAAAAAATAATAAACTTTAATTTTATACGTGACAAAAGTGAGTAGGCATGGCTCAATGAATGGAAGACGATGGCCCTCGTGAATTAACTTACTGTCTAACAATAGTGAAAAAATACAGGATTTTCAGCGATCTATGGCCTACAAACTAAAAATAAACATTTATATCATATAAAATAAATAAATTAAATAAATAAAATAAATTTGGGTCTCATTTGTATTTTCTATACGTTATAACTTTATTCGTCAAAATAGATCCTATTTTTTAAAACGGCAATAGCTTATATTTAGGTTATAATATGATTCATTAATAATTTAAAAATTAAATACCGTAGATCATTGATTATTAAAAAACTCAAGTCATTATTTCTCATGAAATGTTTAACGGAAAAATAATATTACGTTGTTGTTTCTTGGTGTTTCAATACTAATTTAAATTATTTATCTGTACAGTAAATTTTCAACAAGTTACCAACATTATGGTAAAATAAGCTGTAGTTTATATGTTAAATAAGGTCAATATCAAATTTAATAATTTTTTACTCTGTTTTTGTGATAATAAGTCATTTGAGTTTAAAAGGTTGGCGTGAGTAATAGTTTCCATTGAAGTTCGTGAACATTTTTCAATGAATTTTTTCAAATTTTTGTTCTCATCACTTTTAAATTTTTCAAATTGCAATTTTAATTTTCATCATTAGTCCTGATGATCGCCGTTCTTCTATAACAATAATAGTTATTTTACAAATATGTTATAATAATTTGAATAAATATAAATTCGTAAAATTATCTAATGATAATTATTATTCAACACTAAATAATTTTAATACTATATATATATATATATATATATATATATATATATATATATATATATATATATATATATATATATATATATATATATATGAATATTACTAAAAATTTCCATTTTACATTTATTTCAGAGGCAAACTTGTTTCCCAATTGGTTGAAGTACAGAACACAGTCGGAGTTCCAGCACCAGTACCCATCGCTCACGCGGTGCCAGTTGGAGTACCAGTTCCCGTTTCACATCCTTTACCAATCAAAGTGCCTGTACCAGTACCTGTCGTTCAAACTGTTGAAGTGCCATTTGAGAAAGTAGTTCCCTACCCCGTTATAAGGCGGGTTCCTGTCGAAGTAATAAGAAAAATCCCTGTCCCCGTACCAGATCCTTACCCAGTGAAGGTGCCTGTGTACCAGACCAAACATATATACTACTCAGTCAGGCCAAAATACCACTACCATGGTTGGTAGAATAGAAGGTAAGTCAATTATTATTATTTTAAATCAAATTTGCTACACTAATACAATACTTTAAAATTGTATGTATGAAACATACAATTAAAAAAATAACAAACTAGATAAATAATACATTTTTTGTTCTTTTTTTGCAGGTCAATACAGATTTCAAAAAAATCTTCTAGTCACCCTAAAGTGACCTTCAAAAGTGTACAAATTACATATATATAATGTTATGGTATATCAGTATTATATTTTTTTACTTAATGTATATTACAAATAAATTTTCATAAAATAAAATCTATTTTATTATGTTTATTTACTGTGATATAATTTTAAATTGTGAAAGTAAATGATCATAACTCTTTTTAAATAAATAGCAAAATTGACGTCACTACTGAATCATCGATGGTACAGTTTATAACCATCTATTTTATATAAGAGAGGTACCAACCACTCACTCTTATAATGTCCTAGTTATCATTGCATCTCTAGAATGACAATGCCTATAAAGTTAAAATTGTGTATAGTAGTTCCTTTAATGATATACATGTACCTCTGGTGACCTCTGACCGATTTTTTTTTTTTAACTTAAAAAGGTTCTGTGTACTTTGGAATGTAGAAGCTCGTATTTTGAGTTAATTCATTTCTCGTCCAATTACACAATTCATAATTGAAAATGATAAACCAAAAGTAAAAGAATACCGATGAGTAATAGAATAAATGAAATTTAAAATAAAAATATTTGAACTAAAAATAAATAAATACTGAAATTGGGAAATTCTGTCCACCCTAAGAGAATGACTTTCCATATCTACTGAAACATCTTGGTAGATAGGAAAATTGACATTTAAGAATATTTCAACTTCGTTTAATAGTCGGATGCCTATCGCTACACATTATGGTTCCAGACAAATAGATTTCGTCCTATGCATCGTTGCAAAGGCGGATCTATGGGGGAAGGCTTTCGGGCTGAAATCCCTCCCCCAAAAATGGTAAAATATAGCCACGTTTTATCAAAAATATTATCTCTAAAAGCATTATTGTTTGTCTAATTACATTTAATAGGACTTAAATAATTTTACCATTTTATGAAGGTAGTTAGGTTCTTTCTTTCTTATATACATACAAAACAAAATCTTTCCGGCTGAAGCCCCCCCAAATTAAATCCTGGATCCGTTAGTGCATCATTGCATGTAAACATCCGTGACTTGAGGTTTTTACCGACTGCTACACCAAGTTTAAATATTAATTGATGTAAATTTCCCAATCAATCTACCGAGATGTTTAATTAAATATGGGAGTACATTCTCTTGGGGCACTAGCGGATCCTGAATTTTGTTTTGAAGGGCTTCAGCCCGAAAGATTTTTTTTAAAAATATATAACAATAATTTCTATATGAAATAGAGTTTAAGTGATTCTTTAAGTACTATTAAATGTATTTACACTAACAATAATACTTTTAGATGTAATTATTAAATAAGACCTCGGTGTATTTTAACATTTTGGGAGGGCTTCAGCCCGAAAGTCTTTCTCCCCCTCTCCTCCCTGTGAATCCGCCCGTGCCTTGGGGTTAATAGAATTTCCCAATTTCTGTATTCGGTTTATTTTTTTAATTAAAATATTTTTAGTTTTAAAAATATCAACAATTCATTTTCATAATATATGATCACGTGATATTTAAAATTAATTAATAATCGAGATACTTAACTATAATATTTTATTTTTAGTATTTTGAGCGCAAATCGTTTTAAAACATTCAGGAAGTTTAACTGAGTAATTACAACCGCCAAACTTAAAAATCGATCATGCCATCCGCTAAAAAAAAATCGTTACGTACATTTTAGCGAATCGATTAAACGCTCTTTACACAGTAATTTGCCAGAATTTTGAGCTGAAATCCTTTCAAAACACTCAAGGGATCTCACCGAATAATTTAAGATAACAAACATAAAAATCGTTCCAGGCATACGCTCAAAAATCGTTACATAACTCTTAGCCAATCAATTAAAACATTTTATTCATCCAGCCGTTCGCTCAAAAAAGCGTTACAAAGCGTTTTGCGAAACGATTAAAAAACATTTTATTTGATAACTAATTAGTATTTTAACTTAAATTTTTCAAAACACCCAGAGGATCTTACCAAATAATTTGAACCATCAAACTTAAAAATCGATCCAGCCTTTTGATCAAAAGAGCGTTGCATAGCTTTTAGTAGACGGCCGAAACACATAAACCTCGTTTCGCTTGAAAAATTGAAATGGAATGAAAAAAAAAAAAATAGTAAAAAGAAACTCTAACTCTTAAGTGTTAGAAACAAACTAGTTTTTTTGAATAACTCATAAACCATGCTTCCATGGGAAAATTATACGTAATCATATGAAACTAAGTTAAATTCTCTGCAAACATAAAAACGTTTCCTCTAAAAGGTTATTTTCACTTTCACTTAGTTATATGTGACAAATATTACAATGTTAAAGACATTTAGAATCCTCAATTCAACGGCGATTCTCCTTCTCTGGTCCTCTGATTACAAATATAATAAAATCTCACAAAATGGTAAGTGTATATTAGGAATGTTAAAAATATATCAATATTTTTTATATAGGTATATTTTTACTTTTACTTACCTAGTGGCAGGTTTTCTGAGGGGTGACGCACTTTTGTCCATGTCCATAAACCATATTAAATTATAGCAAATCGTTTATAAATAAATATAGAAATTAATTAAGCATTAAATAACAATAATAATTTACTAATCCTTATATAATATTTGTTTAATAATAATTAAAATAATTGATCCTTAATTAATCAAATTCCCCAGGAAAATTAAAAAATATCAAATACTTTGTTTACCTTAAACTAAAGGTACTAAATGCTACCCTCAAAACTATGCTGGTGAACAATTGTTAACAACGAACAATTGAATCGGTGATTGCGAAAAAAAAATGCGAAAAATCATTTTTGATGAAAAGAAGCTTAGAAGTAAGATGCGTGTTGAGTGCAAGAACCACGTTAGTCTTTTGAGTAGTTCCGTAAATAAATGACGTCTTTTTCGATCGTTGAGCGCTGAAATAACATAAGTCAGTGACTGACGTGGTTTCTGCACCCACCGCTGTATCGCATGACGAGGTGAGTATATGTATATTCAAAAATATAAATACGAATACCATTTATATTTACGGTACTTATGAATATAAATATAAATGAAAACTTCAAAGTTATGATGAACTATTTACCTGGCCAACCACAGTGCGTGACAATGATACAATCGTCGAGAATGATCTTTAAGAGCGTTTCACTTTATTATATTCCTGTTTTATGATGACTTTGCAATACTGTAACTTCATTTTTCATATAATATGAAAAAATATAAATTTTTAAAATTGTAACATAAATTAAATTAAAATCAAAATAAATAAATTATATTCTAAAATTAATTTAAATTGTAGTAAAATAAATTGTTAATTAAAATATATAAACTTTTAATGAATGGTTACCTTTTTCCAAGTTTTCAGCTGTCTGTAAAAAACAGTTGAGTGCAGAAACAGCACAAGTCCGAGTCCAATTTTAAATTTGCCTGAGCCTAATTTATGTCGAAATTAGGTAATATTTGCATGACAGCAACATAAATGCATGTTATGACAGAGGAAAAAAACCAAAGTTCAAATATTTGAAAATTTGGAAGAGTTATCTTATTTTTCTCCTGAAAGATTTGAAATTTGTGACTGAAGTGGTTTCTGCACTCACCGATTCAATTGTTAACAGCATTAATGCAGTGCAAAGGGAAGCAGATAAGCCACTGAAGGACCTAAAAACTACGGTTAAAAGTGCTCCCGAGGGATCTCCTTTTGTGAAAAGAAAATTTGAAAAGGGTAATGCTTATTTGATAGAAAAATTATATCTTACTAACTGATGCCAAGGAAAACCTCAAAGTATAGATGGTTAGGAAATCATTTATCAGTATTTGTGATCATAACTACAGTAAGATATAATCTGCTGTTGAATGATAGAGAATTCATCATACGAGGAAAATAAAGACGTAATAGTGCTGTATCTGTCTTTGTGGCAAGATGTCCCTTTGAAGCTTTCATTAATATGAGAGGTGACGTCATTTTGAGGTACTTACTACGATCAAAATTCATAAAAAAAGTATATAAAAGGGAAATTTCACATAAAATTAAATTACAATTAGTGATTCTATTCAATAAACCCACGATCAGAGACGGGCAAAAGCTACTCTAAGAACCGGGGGTACTAAGTATTTTATTCAATTTGAATCACTATTGGAAATTGAATCACTTTTTCAGTTAATCGTTTGACATCAACTGAAGTAGTAATTAATTTATTTGGTGCTCAAAAAAGTTCAGTGTGGATCTACGGGTGGAGAGATCTTTGGGGCTGAAGCACCTGCCAAAATGGCAAAATATAACCATGTTTTATGGAAAAAAAATATTAAAAATTATCTCTGAAAGTAATATTGTTCGTGTAATTACATTTAAAAGGACTTTAGGAATCACTTAAACACCATTTCATATGGGCAGTTAGTTTCTTTCCTTTCTTCCAAAGTAATTATTGTTATTTTTATGAAAAAATAAAAGCTTTCGGGCTGAAGCCCCCCCGTCCAAAAATTAAATCCTGGATCCGCTAGTGCTCAGTACTCACAGTAGCATTTTCCCATCTCTGCCGACGATAAACTATTTTTCAAAGCTGTTGTATGGCTTTTGACCTCCTACGTGGTCTCTTGCATTCACTGTTGTGTAGAGGCTTCCATAACGAATGGTTTGAGTCACCATTTCTTCCCCATCTTAAACACTTCCTTTTCATACCATAAGATATGATAAGCGTTAGTACTCTGATCCCTCCAATATTGACAAACACTACACAAATGAAGAATTTTATAATCTTACAAGTACTAAATATCAAGGATATTTAATAACAATAACTTCTAAATGTTCGGTAGTTATGTTGGAACAGCTAGACATACTAGATTGGAGGTCTCATTTTTGGTAGGTTTGGAATTTTTGAGGGAGCTATATTTTGACGGAGTTATGAGTTTTTAGAGAACACCATATTTTTGTGGCGTTTTAATTTAGAGGAAATTCCAAACTAGGAAACTACAGAAAAATCATGAAACAGGCCATAGCAATTGTAGTTTTTTATGATCAACAATTTTTCATATTCTATTTT